TGAGAGTTGCATTCCTTTGTTCAATAGCTGTTTAAACAGCAAAACAGCTGAGCCTGATTTTAGTAAATTTGCAAACTTCAGTTTCTGTTGTGCATGTGAATAATCATGTGCGATTGTTAGTGTTATGCTTATTGTGTTTGATAAGTGTCACTTTACAATTGTGACCAAGACTGCGAACAGAAAATAATATTTTGTGCACTTGTAACCAGAGGTGCGATAGGTGGAGCCGGGCCCCCCAAAAGTGAAGGTGGTTCCAGCTACCACTGGCCGGCCAAAAGTGAAGGTGGTAGTGCCGGACACTCACCTCCCAAAAACGTCGACCGGGGGGGGCCTTAACGTTGACTGAGCCTATCCTTCCAGGTCGTTGCCGACAGTGCGCGGAAATTAAGCAAAACAAACGCAAAAAAAGATTATTAAAAGCATATTTTATGTATACGGCGGCATATATGTATATTTAAAACAAACGTGTTTAGTAAATGGTGTGTTTTAAAGTGAGAGTCAGCGAGGCTCCACAATTTTATCAAGTAAATTTTGTTATAACGCACTGCGAAGGAAGTAGGTCGATCCAGGCAATAACCACCGAGAACCAGAATTTTGAATAATAAAATAACGATAAATTATGCGAAATTTCCACTTTTATAAATCTTGCGGTTGAAGATGTCAGCAATTGCGACTTCATAGATTTTAAAGAGTAAGTGTTGTTCTACCAGACATTAAAAGAATCAGGTCGATCTGAGCAGTGACCACCGAGAACGTGGATTTTAAAAAATTAAGCGATTTTAGGTTACTTAGTGACAGCTGACGTTCAGACTCCTATAAATCTGGAATGTGAAAGTGTGCAATGTTACGAATTCATAGGTTTTGTAGAGTAAGAATTGCTTTATCGGACTGTGCCTTAGCCGTACCGATCCATCAAGATAACGCCGAGATTCAGGCTCTTAAAAAAAACAGGTGGAAAACCGCTTTTGAACTTCAACAGCTCATAACTTCTTCAGAATTGCATGAATCATGTTGCGACTACATAGGTTGGATTCTTCTTATCAAGAGCTTTCAGAAGATATATAATATGTGGGAGTTTCGCACCTCTTACGGCATATGCCCGGGGGTGGCTTTTAACCCCAAAGTCTCCACTGGCGGTCTCCGGCCAATACATTAACATGGGCGAGGTGGAGACTTTGGGGTAAAAAGTTTCCACCCTGGGTTAGAGCCGCAAAAATCGTTGAACCCCCCACATTTTATATATCATCTGAAAGCTCTTGATGAGAAGAATCTGACCTATGAAGTCGCAACATGATTCATGCAATTCTGGAGAAGTTATGAGCTGTTAAATTTCAAAAAGCGGTTTTCCACCTGTTTTTTTAAAAGCCTGAATCTCGGCGTTATCTTAATGGATCGGTACGGCTAAGGCAAAGTCCGATAAAGCAATTCTTACTCTACAAAACCTATGAATTCGTAACATTGCACACTTTCACATTCCAGATTTATAGGAGTCTGAACGTCAGCCATTCTAAGTAACCTAAAATCGCTTAATTTTTTAAAATCCTCGTTCTCGGCGGTCACTGCTTAGATCGACCTGATTCTTTCAATGTCTGGTAGAACAACACTTACTCTTTAAAATCTATGAAGTCGTAATTGCTGACATCTTCAACCACCAGATTTATAACAGTGGAAATTTCGCATGATTTTTTCGCTATTTTATCATTCGAAATTCTGGTTCTCGGCGGTCACTGGATCGACTTACTACATAGATATATGCTCTCAATACTTTCTTTTGCGTTCCTTTTTCTTATTTTCCTTCTTTTAAGCTTCAGCAAAAAAAAATTTTTCAAACCCAAAAGTGAAGGTGGTCACCCCGTACCAGCTCAAAAGTGAAGGTAGGCGGAGACTCGGCTCCGACTATCGCACCTCTGCTTGTAACTCATATATAAGAATGGTTTTGAGCAAATTCTATAAGAAAAACCGCCCGAACAACACAAAAGCTGCACCAGCAGCCACAATACCGCGCAAACAACCACAGAGACTATGCGACCTCCACAATGGTCGCGCCAACCGCAAAGACCGTACGGGCATCCACAGAGCAAAGATGGGGCAAGCGAGCAGCATTTGTATTGCTGTCGGGTGGGCACAATAACGGGTGAGCCGTGCCGATACCGGCAGGGCACACTCGCGTCCATCGAACGACCCGGAAAAGTGAAAAACGCTCGTACGGTATTTGTGGCCTGTCCGGTACTTTTGCCTGAGGAGGTTTCATTTAAGAGTTGGTATAGCGTCGCGTACAGGGCCCGGCACGAAGTGGGCAAGTAACAGGCTGGAAATCGTTCTGGGTGAAAGCAGAGGGGATATCGTTTTTGCGGAGTCTAGGCGAAGCCCCGGAAAAGAATTGATAGTTTATGCTCTTTGCTTATCTTAACATGTTATGTGCTTCAACGGGCGAACACTGCAGTTCGCGCGCGTCAAACCCCGCCATCGATTGTCGCACGCGCGATGTCGCTACCGATGCTATTTGTGACAGCATACATGGCTAGTTCTCAATGTAAGCGTAGGATATGGCACCAAATTTCGTAAGCGAACGAAGAGAGGCTAGTGGAAACAAAGTATGAAAAACTATGAAAAACTTATGTGAATGAAAGGAGTAATAAGCGTTTTTCTAAAATTTTTGCATGATTGGTGAGCGAAGATGTGAGATTAAATGATTTGTCTGTAATATACAGATGACGATATGGTATGAAACTTGATTAGTACACGAGCTTGGACTTGCAAGGCTCAAGTGAGAAGTTTTAATGAAAAAGTGTGTGACTGAAAGTTGTGGCAAGCTTTTTCTGAAAATTCCCCGCTACCAAAAAAATGGGAATATGGCTCGTTTACAACGCAGGGGCGATGAAATCGCGCAATTTGATGTGATTTGATGTGATTTGATGTGTACAGGCGCAGTAGGACGCGCAGTAATGATATGGCACCAAATCTCGTAAGCGAACGAAGAGAGGCAAGTGGAAACAAAGTATAAAAAAATCATGAAAAACTTATGTGAATGAAGAGCGTGCCTAACTTTTTTCCAAACTATATTGGCAATTGCCAACCTAATACCCAACTGAGGTTGACAAAACTTCCAATTCACATAATTTTTTTCAAAATTCTTACATAAATCTGTTCTACGCCTGAAGCTTATTACATAGTAACATTTTAGTCCCAAAACTTCTTTTCTCCTCTTTGTTAGGATCCGGAACAGCAACGACGTCGACGTTTAAAACCCTAGAATTGGGATTATGTGGCGCGCACGCCGAGTATGCGCAACCAGGGTCCAGCCGAGGGTGGCAAATGGACAGCGATGAAACGACTTAGGCTGGGTTCATACTAATTCCCATGTTCTGGAACTGTTCCCGCACAGTTCCCGCACAGTCACAGTACGAGAACTGTGCGGGAACAGTTCCAGAACATGGGATCAGTATGAACCCAGCCTTGGCTCTTGCCACTATCGATTTCTAGGATTTCTCACTTGATCATGGTATGCGCGCCGCATAGTCCCAATTCTAAGATTTCAGACATCATACTGCACATACTTCATTAACCTCAAATAAACAAATAATAAAATACTTTTAGAACGGTAAAAATTGCTCGAGCACACTCTAGAAACAGAAGCTGCAATTCCCAAACAAAAGCAACAAATTCAAATTTCATTGGGACTTATCAGGTTGCCTCGTAAGTTTTTTCAGTTTTGACTCTCTGAAGCAATAACTCACAGACTTCTCAATTCTGATTAGAATGCAGGGCACCGTTTGATAGAACAATGCAATCTCTATAGAAGGCGTATAAGTTTTTGCATCAGCTTCGGCACCCTACGAGTTAGAAGCCGAAGTCCGAGAATTGTGGATGCCCAAAAAATTAAAAATTTTCTGTAACTCTGCCCGAAGAAAACTTACCAAATCCCAAACTCGCCCACCATAGACACTCCCAGAACACATTCATATGTGCCGTTGCTGTGTTTGTTTTTGTGCTAGAAACCGAGAAAACCAAAATTTTCAAACTTCCAAAAAAGCGATGCTGCGCTGTTTTTACACAGTGTATACTACAGGCCTATAGAAAAAACAGTCACAAAATTTTCAACTTTCTATAAGCTCTAGTCCCCAAGAGATATTAATTTCAACATGTAATACCTAAGCAAAAAAAGCTAGATTCGGTATTTCTCAAGAACAAGGCTTCCGGAAAGATGAAAATTTACCGATGTGTTACTGAAGGCCTGTGGTATACACTTATCTGCGTAGCGCAGGATCGCTTTTTTGAAAGCATGAAAATCTTAGTTTTCTCAGTTTCTAACACAGAAACAAACACATCAACGGCACATATGAGTATGTTGTTTAAAGTATATATGCGTGAATGAGTTTGGTATCCGGCAAGTTTTCTTCGGGCAAAGTTGCAAAAAATTTCACAGATTTCGTTTAACTCAAGATGTGCCGAAGCTGGTGCAAACACTTACAAGTCATCTTATAGAGCGTGCTTTGCTCTATCGAACGGTACCCTGCATCTTAATCAGATTTGAGGAGTATGCAAATTATTATTTTAGAAAGTCAAAATTGAAAAAAAAACTTATGAGACAAACCTAATATAATAGAAATTAATGTCAGCAAGCCTATTTGCCCTACATGCATATAAATACGCGGGGGATTTTTTTCTAAAATCGAACAGCACAGACACGCCGAAGGACTTTGCGACCAAAAAACTATTCACTGTGCTGCATATTCCCTGAGATTATCGTGCAGCATAAGTCGCGTTTTCCCAAAAAAGCAAGGCGGCTGAGCGGCACGCTTGAAAAATCGAAAAAGGTGCCTCTTGTACGCGGAAATTAGGGTACTCGCTATCAAAAAGTTCAAAGTTGGTAGTGGCGTTTAACGAAAAGCATCATAATTTCAAAGGCGCTATACGTACTGTATCCATTTGCAGCTTTTTTATTCAAATGAAGTGGATGTTAGTGTTTATACCATGAAACTTATTGCAGCAGTCCTCTAATGATCGCCACTGTTTTATCAACTGCAAATCATACCGAGGAGCGCCAAGCTATACGTGAAAGCTGGGCATCAGGAAGAGAATCAAAATCTATTAAAGTGAGTCAAATTCGCTCTTAGTACTAACTTCCGATGACTTTGCTTAGGGTAGACGACAGTAGGTTGCCGAGAAGGAAGGCCCCGCGCGGAGCAACAAATGCGCACTCTTTTCCATCCCAGATGGTGTAGCAGTCCGAAGGGCGAAGCCTACTGGCGACTTCTTTTCCTCTACCCCCTTGCCCACGGTTTGATTAAATAAAACGCTGGCTAATCACGGATGTTTGCTAAATCCGTAATCAACATACTCAGTTGCTCCTTCACTGTACCAACCCTCACCCTACCATAAACGTTGCAAAAATCGGTAAAATTTGGTCTGAGAGTATTTTTTCCGCATTTCTTTCACCTAGGTTAACGGCTGCTCTACCCTTTTGTATCAACTAAAAGCCCCATTTGCAAGTGTGAAAAAATCGGCATTTCACTTCGAATAAGTTGTGTGTAAGGTTTGGTCCAAATCGGTTCAGAAGTGGTTTCTGCTTGGAACGCACTTGTAGACAAACATGCACGACAAACATAAATGAACACAATCAACTTTATAAAAAAGGTTCAGACCCACCACGCAATGGTATTCTTCATCATATCTTCTACATCCAAGAACGATCTACACAATCTTCAGAAAGAGCAAGAAGAGCATGATGATTTGATTGTTACAGATTTGCACGAGACTTACGAGAATTTATATCTCAAAGTAGGTTAATCTAAGCTTACTTCTGCTTGAAACAACTTTGAAGGTCTACGCGTCTATGGTCTTCCATCAACGGTACTGTCCATTGGCGCAATTCCTCATGAAAGTTGACGACGATGTCGCACTCAACCTTGATCGCGTGGTTGACTCATGGAAAAAAGACAACGAATCTAGTCACTCCATATTCTGTCGGGTTTGGAAAAAAGCACGACCAGACAGAAACATCCGCAGTAAATTGTAAGTTCTGAAAAAGCAAGACCAGCAGCAGACTTTATCACTGTAAAAATAGGCTGCTTAGTTTTCTTCTCAAAAAACAATCGTCATTTGTTGTACCCTGATGTGCACCGAAAGGGCTTGATTCCATTGAAGTTTACATCAACTTTGTCATTAAACACTATCTCATCTCATCTTTGCCGCAAAGATTCGTAAAAACTCTTCTTCACTGTGTGTCAAATTATGGCGGCCACTTCATGAGTCGATAAAGAAGGATTTTAACTTGGCCAAAGCACTCGGCACTAGGGCGACGCTTATGGAAAACGATTTTTCCTTTGTCACTTTCCAATTTTACAATTTCCTTCGCGTCAGTTTCGTTCAGTTAAGGGGCACTTTTCTCCTTTGAAACAATGTCCGGGGAAGCTCAGTTTCCAGAGACTATCCGCTATGAGTGATAAACCATGTTAGATGGTACGAAAACTGTAAGAAAAGGCTTTTTGAGAGCCCTCTTCTCAATTTGGACGAGTAAGACACTTCCCCTAGGGCTAATGCAGAGTCACTGCGGCACTCTGCGATTTTGGGTATGGCGGCATATGCCTCTGGTGTTAAAAAAGGGTATGTTGGCCCTGCTCCGATGTTTTGGATATCATTACTGCTGCGGATTGACTTTGACATGTGCGATTTCTAAGCAATTGCTTGTTTGTGCTAGTATCTATAATTTTTCCGGGATCTACCAACAAGGGAAGGGCACTCAACATAGGCCTTCCGGGAAGAAACATGTTATGCTTTTTCTAGCTGCGGTTCATCATTCTAGAGAATTCTCTTTTTTTTGTGCAAAATATTAGGTTGTTACATAAATTTTGTTACACTCAACTGAAAAAATCCCTATAACTTTGCCAAATAATTTTTTCTTATCTCCAAACTATGTGTAATGTAGCAGTTTTTGATATATACATGTCACACATAAAAAAACAAATTTTCGAATTTTCTAAAAAAGTTTTCGAATTATTAGCAAATTTCCACTTTTGAATATTGGAGAGCTTGAACTTCCAAATTGCCCAGTGGTTACTACCAATGCTCCTAGAAGTCCACAAAAAATCTAAAAGTTGAAAAGAAGAATAAGAGATTTATTAGAAAATAAAGAAAATCGGAAGTAGTAGTGCCTCTACAGAGTTGCCTTTATATTTACTGTAAGCACGTGGTAAGGGTATAAATGGTGTCAGCGGATAGCGCTTTATCTCTTCTCCATATATGCTAGATATGAGATCTTGCCAAATTTTCTAGAGTTCTCCGGAGGAAGACGAAGAAAGTGTAAGAAAACTCTTGTAACAACCTACTAATTTGCATGCTCATCGACTTAGTGGCGTTACGGCATTATCACTTGAGTGCCGAATAATACGCTTGCGTAAGTATCTTGTCAGTAGACCTAATGTATTTTGATTCCAGGACCTTATGGGTAGATTTACGCGCAGGCTGACTTCTTATGTTGAAGTGGGTTGAATTTGCAAGGAAAATAGCTCATAACTCCAGGAAATTGCTGGGAACAGCATATTTAAAACTTGCGTTTTTTAATTTAAGCTAATTCAAAATACGAGCTGAGTTGGATGCTTCCTTTGTGAGTTAAAATTTCACGGCTGTCTGTTCCACATACGTTTTGTGAACATCTGTGCAATTGCTAGATTGCTGATAATGACGAACATCAATCCTCAGAATAACTCACGTGCAAAAATAATCCAGAAGACTCGAAGTTTTGCGATCATCGTCTTTGCAAGGCAGAATCATTGTTTCCACCAATGGGAGACGAGTATTGACACTCCTGTATAGGCTTATTTTAGAATCGTGCCCAGCATCTGCTGACCACTCTGAAAAGTGTAGATATTTTTCGCATAAATTTAACTATCCTGACTAATTAGAAGCTTAGATTATAGGAGTGGATGATCTAGTGGTGGCGCTCCATGTTCCGGTAAGCTGGTTTTGGCGAGAACATTGGTTTGATACCACCCAAGAGTCCTCTGACTCCAGCGCTATTCGGCTCCTTCCGAGAAGGGCACGCGACATGGGAATACCGCCTCATCAAAAATGAATTCTGATGAAAAAAACGAGGACCCCGCACAAGCTTTCAAAAAACCAAAATGGAGTCAGTAGGTAGCCCACATCTATGAAATAACAGTAAAAAGTGGAGTATGGCATTGTGCTCTAACTAGTTATCGTTAGCTTTCCTAAAAAAATCAATAATGTCACGTACAAGAACAAATTCAGTGTCATCATTTGAAGCCGCGCTGACTATCATATTAGAAAATCAAAAATCGCCACGTACCAAACGTTCCTTGTAAGCAACAACCTATGCTATTTTAAAGCAATACCAGCATTTTGTGCAATTATCTCCATTGGTTCTTTGACGTGACTTTTCTCCGTATTCCCACTTCCTTCATAACATAATCTTAAGACAAAGTCATTCCACAGCATTTATTTTTCAGTTACGTTCCCAAAAATGTATGGCCGAACAAACATTACCCGCCTTATTGTAGTGGTCCTATGTATATAATGGGTAGAGAAGCAGGTCGGCTCATCCTTGAGTACGCTCGCTTATTTACGCCGCTAATGATGGAGGTAAAAGCGATAGGAAGACGTTTTGAACATGATAATCACTAATTTCTGACTCAGGACATATTCTACACTGGTATTATTGCCGAAAAGGCAAAGATTAGAAGAGTTCATTGGGCAGCTAGCTTGAGTTTGGATTTTCGGGTGGGTTTCACTCAATTTACTCAAACATTGATAAATTTTTACAAGGAAATGGTCAGAAAGTCCGGCCAGCAAAAGCAAGTGTAATTCATTGCATCGCCTTGAAATGCTGATTTCAATGTACTTTTTATCTGCTAAAAAAACTTTGTGAACGCAGGGTTTAATATGAGGCTAAAAGCATGCATTTACACTAATTTACACTAAATGAGTACTTCAATTACAGACAAAAACACATTCAGTGGAATAATTACGTGTTTCTGGGTTTCCTCCGTGCAATATGCATTGCAGAATATCTAGAGAATCCACACTTTTGAACGTTCGTAGCTCCTTTTGGATAGCCGTCTAGCAGAGAATAAAGATTTGAAAAATCAGCTTTTCAACGCGAGCTATAATATACGGCTTGTTTGAAATGGCCGGACCAACTTCTGGCCCATTCATTTGCTTGAAGTGAAGCCTTGGATTGCCTTCAATACACAAGAAAGTCAACTCTTCAATGCCTCTTTGATTTTGTCATTACAATTGGATATAAAAACCGAGTTGTTATAGACGCATTTTATGCTTAGTCTTTTTACTGCAGTGACAATCTTCTTATTTTCAATCGGATTTTAGGGATTATTCCTGAATGCGACGCAAGCTCTACAAGATAGGATGTAGATTCTCGCACTAGCTTTAGTCCATCTCAACTTTGGAGCCAAATCTGAAGATTTGAAATGTCTAAAAAAACGAGAAAACAAATCTCGACTTTTTTGAGCATCCAAACTTCTACATTTTAGTTCATAAGAGGTGATCAAAGCGGTGCGAACTTCCACATAGTCTTACAGAGCTTGCTCACTCCAGCGGTATCTTTACAATAAGCAGTGTATGACAGACTTATTGCCTAGAGAAGACAAGGTCTAACAATACATGTGTAGGGTAAGTAACACCGGTAGTGGGATGTCCTAGATCTGGACGGATATCCGATTTTTCTTATGATTTTTCGTGCATTTGAAAGTTTTTAGATTTTGATGTTTAACTTTATGTTTCTTGGTCAGAAGCACCAAAACAGGTTGTTGAGCTTGCTTTGCTCTATCGAACAGTACCCATTGCGTGTCCTTGTGGTTCGGGCAGGTGCGGTCAGAGACTGGCACAGATCGTACGAAAGCATGCTGGACTTCGTTTTTGGGAGAGGGAGCAAAGGGGACATTGTTTTTGTGGCCAAAAATTGCGTCGTTTTTGTATTCGACGTTTCGTTTTTTGAAGGTTTTTTTTACAGATGGGTTTGGGGTCAAAGGGGACTTCGTGGAATTTCGAAGGGTATTTCATTTTTAAAAAGCATAAAATCGAACTCATGCCAAGCCCTGATTGCGGTGCGCAGCAAGCAAATAAAAACCGACATTATTTCCTTAACAACCAAGTAGGAAGTGAAATGACCGACTTTTGTGGCAGCTGATACTTTGAGTATGACTCTGACTGATAACTGCAAAAGTGTGTGAAAGGTGCTACGCATACTGAGAATGAGCACCTCTCACAATGTTTTTGATCTTCTGACATTAAAGCAACCTCCTTTACGTAGCTGACCCACATGCTAGAGATCTAAGTCAGGATTTTTTCGCGAAATCAAGGTACGCATTTGAAGTAGACCATGGTTTACTGTTTTTGAAAATTTGACATGTACCTTGCCAACCATCCGCCAACTGGAGTTTCACTTCTGTCAAACAACAGACATTTGAACGTAAGCTTTAATCAAGATGTTGTACAAAATTTCATCCTTTTAAACACTATAGCGCAGTGGTTCTCCTCTACTGAGCAAATTTGTAAAGAATGATATACCAAACTTACATGGGAAGGATAACTGGTTGCCGTAGCCTTTTGGAATATGTTATACATAAATGCTTGCTTTGAAACGCTAATCTTGAAACTATCTTCGCTAGCTGCAGAATCCTTTTTCAAAAGTATTAGCGCTTGTAAAAGCGCTAACGCAGATTTGCGCCAACCGAGATCAAACGGGCATCCGTTGTGCAATAATCGACAGCGCTAACCGTCAAACCTTCGAGACCTTTAGAACTTGTCGAACTCACTCTTGTGCAAACACGTCAGATGAAGGGAAATACCGTTTTTTAGTATATCGTTCTGCAGATATGAATACGGTTTTGAGATCAGCGTTTCAAGCCAAATGTCATGACATACGTCACAGTTAAAAGGCCACGGCCACTAGGTATCCTTTCAAACGTTCATAGCTCATTTCGGATGGTTGCTTGGCAGATAACAAGGGGGAAAAGGTTCATTCGTCAATGGATACACATAGGGGAAAGTTTCCAAAAGGAAAAAAAGTAGTACGTATGAACATAAACACGACCCAATCCAGTATACAGCGTGAAAGTGATGATCAATGCAGGAAAAACCGCGGCCTCAGCAGCATATGAATACAGATGACGGTTAAGGAGTGAAGCAGAGTACATAGGCCACAAGCAGATGATGAATGCACCAGAATTTACAGACGACTGTACAGGATATATGGCAATGGCCAGACCGCCAAAAACGCATCCGCATTGAAGATGCCAGGAGCAAACAATATAGGTCATACCGCCGAGAGTACAAGATACATACGAATGAGATGCAAATCTCAGAGGGCATATTACATCGGTAATTAACGTTACAAAGGTACTTCCACAGTCCTGAAAAAAGACCTGCAGCCATAAAAAGGATAACTGCTTTCTCTCTGAGGCAAGTAGATGCAGAACATGGCAAAATAACAGCGAGGTAGACCAACGAGAATAATCAATGATACAGAGATCCTCCTAACGCCGAACACGATATGACAGTCATAAAAAGAAAGATTGCTTGCTTCCTGAGGTAGTGAGGTGGAACAGAATAGGAAAATAAAGAGATAGAGCACCTACAGAAAATCACAACGCAACTCTCCGTAGAAAAAGGAGCAAAATCCGCACAGCATATTTGATTATCAGAGATCGTAATTTAAAGACAGTGGATCGGCAAAATCCAACAACTCGGGATTTTAACGCGGTAGGTTCCTTATCGCCCAACTATGAAAACAGCGCAATCCCGGTTGCACAGCTGCTTTCCCTGCCGAGAAAATCGCTCTCGAACTTACACGCGCAGGCAATCTTACACGCATCTGGACGAGTTGGCAACTCCCTTCTCACCACTGGAGGCTGCCCGCCGCAACGCTATAACCATTGGGTCCTGCAACGATTTGCCGTTATCGGCCTTGCTCCACTCGTCCAATATCAAAGGGAAGGGCATTAAAAAACGATCATTTTCGCCGTTTTCAAGCTTTCGAAAGTGGATTTTCGGGATCAGCGTATCGAGAAACCCCAGGTGGTAAGCGCAAATTTGGCTACGTTGAGATTTGCCGAGCCACTGCCTTTAAGACCTGAGATAGCAACAATGACCTGAAAACAGGAGCAAGATTATATAGTCAAATCAAATAACGAGCTTCCTCGTATACTGCAGAATACTACTCGCGCTATGCCGATAAAGAATAAAAAGAAAACAAAGTCCAACAGGAAGAGACAAAACGAAGTTCTGTAGGAACGGATATAATACAGGCACAATTCAAAGAGGACTGGGATCCACGCACGTAGCAGGAGAAAGCCTCGGCAGACCGCCACCGTCCGACGCGCATAACATTGGCAGGGTACCTTCCTGTTCGGATTGCTGCAGTGGCTGCTCCTCCTCTAAAGGAGTGCGAAGTGAGGCACCTGTGTTCCAAGCCGGCATCCTTGAGCACTCTTTGATCCTGCGCGTGATGGTATCCTGTTGGTGGATGAGCGGATGATCGGCTAAAAATAAATTGATCCTGGTTTTGCGGCGGAAACTTAGACGCTCCATAGTATAAGAGCGGGTCCCGTTAGCCGGAAGGCGACTTCCGAACCGCGTCTTTCTTGATCTGTTTTTGATTTTCTAATTGTGAACCACCACTCGTTTTCGCCCCTACGAGATAAGCCTGACACTGGGATTTTGCACAATTTCCCAACCCTCAGCAACGCAGCAAAAGCGAGCAGAAATGGCTGCCCCAGCTATCGCCGCGAACGTTTTTCGCTGCAACGTTCATCTAATGACCGCATCAACGTCTTCTTGAGTAGCCTTCTTTCTTTGCTTCGCCGGAGGAATGGTTAGCTTTGCTCCACGCACCAAAGCCCTTAAGATCTCGTCATCCTCTAGTGGCAGCGGGCCAAAAAATGCACTAGTGCCGCAACATGGCAATCTAACGACCTGGTTTTGTTCTTGTCGATCAGATGCGCAACATAAACGTTTCGGAGCTTATGTAGCGCAGACACAAGGAATCCGAACTTTGCGTTAAATTTGAGGAAATCCTCTTGCACTCTTCTGTAGATTCGAATTGTCCCTGGTACCAGTGCGCTGTCGAAGCATGATCCAATTAGCTCCGCTACTTTCTTCAAGCCTGCGCCCACAGCTATCCCAGCCATCTTTCCGGCTCTTCTCCTTTGAGCATCAATGTGCTGGGTTATGGAATGAATCAGTTGGGAACGTTCTACTAGTTCTACTTCGTTCTACTAGTCGTTCTACTAACGTTCTACTAGTTGCAAGTGAATCAGTTGGGAACCTGCTGCAGATCTGAACGAGGAAGAACTAGTAGAACGTTCCCAACTGATTCACTTGCACGCCATTCCATAACCCAGCACAAGCTCTTACGCTCCCAAAACTAGGAACCAAGCGCGCAAAGTCCCAAGTTAGCCAAACCAGCACTGCCACAGATCCTGGCGGAAAATTTCCTCGAACTTGAACGCCAAATTTACCCGCGCATACCAGTACAACGCAGTCGCAAGTATGCTGACTACCACGCGGATACGCAAGATATAATAATTTTAATTTCGATCTTCATAGCCTCAGACCAGGGAGGGTGGGTGGCTCCCACGTTGACGAAAGACCGAAATGACGAAACACCGGCCAAACACGCATCACAGTATTGCCCCGCCCCCAACGCGTGCTTGGCCACCAGCCAAACCTGCGAAATAGCAAAACTCTATTTTTGCCTCCGA